AAAGCAATTATCTTTCAATTAAAAAATAAATTTTTTTTAATGGGATTTCCTTTCTTTAGGAGCCCAAGATGAGAAAAGCATCTGAATAAGTGAGCATGACTGGGGAAGCACAGGTCTGGAGATTTCTAAGGGCTGATGTTTCACCAGAAGCTGGAAGAAATGCTGAGAACCGAAATTGGAAAGGAATCACTAAGCATTAGTCTATGTTCCACCCGTCTAGGACCCTGCAGGATCATGTGAAAGTCAGAAGAGTAGAGAGGCATAGACTAGGAGGAAAAAGAACACATAGACAACATGAGAAGTTAAAGCAAATGGCTGAGCATGCCTACCTGGACCGAATTAAAGTTTTCAAAATGCCTAATTGTAATCAGAAGGTAAGAGGTACCCAGTATCTTTTAATTAGGGGAAGATACCCATGTAAGCATCAGTGAAAGGGACACACAGAACCCAATCCCTGCCTGCAAGGAATGCACAGTCTTGTTGGAGAGTCGAGGAATAGTACTTACGTATAATCTCATCAAATCATCTGAACCCAATCAACAGAAACCTCAAAAGAAAGAAAAGAAAAGAGAAGGAGAGAGAGAGAAAGGGAGAGAGGAGAGAAGCAGAAGGACACTTAAGACAAGCAGATACAAAAAAGGAAGTGAAGGAGAAAAGGGGAGAGAAGGAAGAAAAGAAAGAAGGGGGAAGGAAGAACAGAGATGTTCATGTAGGAAATTCACTCAGGGTGATGGTCATCAAAGTGTGAATCGCATCCCATCTGTGTCAGAATCACCCAAGGTGCTTCACAAGGAGACAGACCCTCACAAGTGGGATCTGGGAATCAGAACCATCACAGGTCTCCCAGAGGAACTTTCAGTTCAGTTCAGTTCAGTTCAGTTCAGTCGCTGAGTCATATCCGACTCTGCGACCCCATGAATAGCAGCACGCCAGGCCTCCCTGTCCATCACCAACTCCCAGAGTTTGCTCAAACTCATATCCATCCAGTTGGTGATGCCATCCAGCCATCTCATCCTCTGTCATCCCCTTCTCCTCCTGCCCCCAATCCCTCCCACCATCAGGGTCTTTCCAAATGAGTTAGCTCTTCGCGTCAGGTGGCCAAAGTATTGGAGTTTCAGCTTCAACATCAGTCCTTCCAATGAACACCCAGGACTGATCTCCTTTAGGATNCCCAAGAATATCAGTCCTGAACATACATTAAAGGACTGACGCTGAAGCTGAAGCTCCAATACATTGGCAACCTGATTGGAAGAACTAACTCATTTGAAAAGACCCTGATGCTGGGAAAGATTGAAGGCCAGAAGAGAAGGGGTCGACAGAAGATGAGATGGTTGGATGGCATCACCGACTCAGTGCACATGAGTTTTAGCAATCTCCAGGAGCTGATGATGGGCAGGGACAGGGAATCCTGGTGTGCTGTTCTACCATGAAGTGTGATGTTAGTTATACAGTTTATTACCATCATCAGGTTGAGGAAGTTTTCTATTTCTAGTTTGCTAAGCATTTTTATATAGAATGTGTTCAGTCACCCAGTTGTGTTCAGCTCTTTGCAACCCCATGGAATGTAAGCCCAACAGGTTCCTCTGTCCATGGGGATTCTCCAGGCAAGAATACTGGAGTGGGTTGCCATGCCCTTCTCCAGGGGGTCTTCCCGACCCAGGGATTGAACCTGAGTCTCCTGCATTGCAGGTGGATTCTTTACCCATTGATCTACCAGGGAAGCCCCAATATCATGCCTAGTATGTGGCAAGTACTCTGTAATTTGAGTTATTATATTCTATATGTAAAATATGAAATTATGAAATTGATTTTTTTAGAGTGCTATAACTTACTCATCCTGCTGTTTTTAAAAGCCAGGGGGTAGCAGGGGGAATCAGATTAGTTTAACTTGATATTTTTAATCTGAATCAGAATTACTCAGCTTGATCCTCAACCCTGTTCATTAGATTTGGCTCTAAATTTAAAATCTACTCTCCTATAAGGAAGATTTGCCAGCACTGAGGGTTTAAGGAAACCGTCTCTGACTCTGAAGGCAACTGGAGTCAGTGACGCAGACACTGGCACGAAGCCAGGCAGTGGTAAGTCTAAAAAGGACACGCCAGCACCGCAGCACCGCTGATGGGAATGGCCAAGGCGCTGCCCTCCTGGCTGACTGACGGGCTCTTTTCCAGAGCATCCCTTGCATGCTGCATGCTAAGTCACTCAGTCATGTCCGACTCTGTGTGACCCCAGGGACTGTAGCCCACCAGGCACCTCTGTCCGAGGGGATTCTCCAGGCAAGGATGCTGGAGTGGGTTGCCATGCCCTCCTCCAGGGATCGAACCTGCGTCTCTTATGTCTCCTGCATTGGCAGGCAGGCTCTTTACCACTAGCGCCACCTGGGAAGCCAAGGCCATCCCTTAGTGTCTGTCCTTCTGTCGTGGTTCTAATACAAAGTGCAAGAGCCACATTGTATACAGGGACACATCCAACCTTACCCTCACCCAAAATACCTCCTTTATGAATCACTCTCCACGCCCTTTCCCTGACATTTCCCATGCCTCAGTTGGTTTTTTCATTTCAAGCCACTGGTGGTCACTTCAAAATGCTACTCAAATAATAGCTACCATGTATCGAGTGGCTCCATGTGCCAGGCACCCTCTTAGAGATTTTATATACCGTCTATCATTTTAAATTTTAACAACCCTATAATGCAGGTACTATAAGTCTTCTCATTGTACCCAAGTATTAATAACTTAATAAGTGAAGAGGCCAGATGTGACTCTAAAGTCCATGTTCTTAGACACAGAGGCACACACCTTCATAAGCTCATTTCCTTAATTCTCTGTAGATGAAGTATTATTGTTCCCATTTTACAGATGAAGAAACCAAGGCTCAGATATAAGACTTCTCAGCAGATTCCAAATTACTTAAGCCACTCCAGTTACTCGTGTCTCTTTAGGTCTATACTGGCAGCTGTCTTACCAGCATGGACAAAATTGCAGCCAACCAGGAGGAGGACAGAGCTGAGAGGTGGAAAGAGCTGGGCCTGGGAGACACAACCAAGCCTTGCTAACAAATCTATGGTCTTTCTTGTCACATAAGGCATTCAATTCCTACTTGAATTAGACTGACTTGGCTTTTTAACTGCTGTTTGCAACCCAAAGAGTCTTATCTGATACAAAGATGAACCCCACAAGGTGAGACCATGAAGTATGGTGGGTAATTTTTATAAACCTACAGGCAAAATTGATTCATCAAATGAGGGCAGTTACTTTTAAAGTAGTCATCTTAAATGAAATATTGTTGCAACCAACGGGTGGGGGTAGGGGGCTATTAAACAATATCTCCTAAATTGCAGTATTAATCAGGAGCTGACCAATATTTTGGAATGAAGAATGTACATCATTTTGCAAGCATAGTTGTTCCATGTTGTAGAAGGAAGTACCCCAAGGGACAGGAAAGAAAAGTCTTTGCTTCTACTCCTCGTCAAACTATCAAGCACACTGCTGCACTGTCACTTAGCTCTAGGGAAGCCCATTGTCACCAGGGAGTAATCAGCCTCCTACCCTGAACTAACAGCCTTGAAACCCGCAGATCGAATACCGATTCTCAGCAAAATCCGACCTGAAATAGCCAGACAATGCCAGGTATGCCAGAGTCTATCTTTGGCCTCAGATTCTCCTATTCCCAGCCCTGACTGGGCTGAGGCTCACTGGATTCTCTCCTGGGATAAGGTCGGTCCTTCAGCTAAGGCAGCACGTCTCCGTGCCTGGTTCATGACCCATGACTGACATGGTTGCCCACACGATTACACCAGGGGAACCGAGTCACAAGACCATGCTCACCACAAGCTATGAAATGAGGGGAAATTGCCAAGAAGTCTCCCTTTAGAGCTGTGCTATTTCTCTTCCTGTAAATAAAAGGATATCCATGGTCCTTGTGCAACTGTAGACGGATCAGATTAACACCAAGAAGAATTTCCTGGCCTTAAAGAGAAATGAGAGACTTCAGAAGCACAGATAGTCAGAATTCTAATCTGAGACTCTTTGGCTCAGGTCTAACTGTGACCTCTACCAACAAAGCTGAGGGAGAAACCTTTCCTTTGCGGCTTTCTCTTCAGCATCATTGAGTTCCTTTTGGCACCATTGAGCTTGGACATAGCACGCTGATGATCTCTCTTTCCTTACCTAACTGAACCTGAGAGTGAAAACCTAGACTACCATCTTGACTTTCTAGCTCACCTAACACCCATAATGCTAGGCCACCTATAGTGAGACACTAAATCCAAAAGAACCAGCCACCCTTCAGGGAAATCTGAAAAGCAATTGCCATCTATGCTGAAATGTCTTTTAAAGGCCCCAAGGAAGCAGTCTGTTCATAATGATAATAGAACTCCTCAAGACTCTCCTCATTCTCTTCCTACTCCCACAAAGAGAACTGATGCTCTACCAAGTTCATGGCCCATACTCCCCAAATGCCCAAAAACCACCTCTCATTTCAGCCTGCATTTGCTCTCATTCCCCTTGATGGTTCTTTCCCTCCAGCACTTCCCTGCCCTTACCAATTCTGTTCCTTTATGTGATTCTGCAGAACAAAAGTAGCTGCCTACCTGAGATGTCTTCCTTTCAGAAGGCAGGGGAAAGGAAAGGTTCTAAAGGTGATATGTTTATTTTTTGGTCCCTATCCCATTTGCCAAAATGTAGTCTTAAATAAATGTCCAGAAGGAAACTGATATCCAAAACCAGATAACATGGATAGTCCCAATCACTGTGTGTGACTTTGGAGCAATTAACCTAACTTTCTGACCTCCATCACTACATCTATAAAGTAAGGTAATGGTGATGGCTTCTTCACAAGGATGTGGTGTGACTGGTGAGAAAACATATTTTAACCGTAAGGAATAACAAATAAACCAGAAAGTGCTCTGTGAAAATGACTCCCAATCTTACTGGCTTTGCTATTTCTTACATGGGTTTGGATATTATATATGTATCCTTGTAGAAGGTTTAATTACATACTTAAGAGATACAAAGTGGTCTGTTTCCCAAGTTGGTCACTCTTCACAGTCTCAGCTAGAATCTTAAATTTTTAATTATCTTTGCCTGTGTTGTGAGTCACGTGATTCTTCCATCCTGCTTTGACGTACTCCATAAAATGGAATCCAGAATCTTTAGACTATCACTTTGAAATCTGAATTCTTAATTCTCAGCCCCAGACTCCACATGAAATTTCTGAACCTCAGCAAGCCATGGCATAAAAGATTTGATCTGATCCTCTTTTTGAAAGAGATTCCCGTAATTTTTAGTTAATTGCAGAAGTCAAAAATCCCCCCACTCCAAGTTTTTAATGAACAGCAGACAAAAACATCAAATATAGGCTGTAAAAGCGCTAAATTAGACCTGAACATGGGGGTGTAAACTGGGTGACTGGGACTGATATATACACACTACTAAATAGAAAATTAATTAGAACCCACCGTATAGCACAGGGAACACTAGTCAATACTCTGTGCTGGTCTATATAGGAATAGAATCTGAAAAAGAGTGGACATATGTCTGTGTATAACTGATTCACTTTGTACAGCAGAAACTAACACAACATTTAAATCAACTACATTCCAATAAAAACTTAATTTTAAAAAACAAAAAAAAAGTTTTTAATAAAGGAAAAGAGTATAGAAACCCAAGACCAAAGAAATAAAGAATTAAGGAAAGTCATCAGAGTACTTACATTAAAATAACAGATCTATTCCCTCTTAAACAGGAAATGAAAAAGTTATGAGCACACATGGATCCACTGATTTAAAGTGAAAATGATTCCAAAGTAATTCCTTTAGTTTCCATGTGAGAAGGTGTCAGTTTGAATAAGCCAGATTGAGTGAAAGGGGACATGAAAAGGGGGAGGATAAAAACACAAAGTGATGTGCAAGCTAACAGAGCCAGCGTCCAGGATCTTCTTTATCTTTGAGCTTCACATCTGGGATGTGGGTACCTATGAACCAGGCAGGTGGAGGAAGAACCAGACAGTTCCTGTAGCAATTGTTCAAGAAGACAAGTACGTGCTGGATGTCTTCCCACCCTGACCTCCCCCACGTTAGAGAAGCCTCACCTTTTAATGAAGATGTGACATTTACCTTGCTTCACTGCCCATCACTGGATAAAGGGAGTAAGATGGATAAGAAAGGACAGGGAGAAACAGCTGGAAAGAGATTTTTTTTAAGACTATTAATTTGCTCTCTTTGCCAGATTCCATGCCAAGCAGATAATGATCAACAAAGTTAATTTCTCTTGATCTTCTCTAATGAAGATATGCTGTCCTCTGTAGGATACACAGGTGGATTGTCAAGGAGAGTTCACAAATCCTGGATAACCCTTTATGTGAGAGCTTTCCCTTAGATTATCCTTACTGCCATCAACAACAGCAATTAAAGATAAGGTAACAAAACCTGGATTCCATTTTCAAGGAGGAATTTAGCTCTGCCCAAGCTGGTAAGAAACTACGAGTTCCAACTGATTGTATGCTCAAATTATAGGCTTAAACATGACATTGAAACCCAAATAAACATAACACCAGAAGACATTTTCCATTGATTCTTTCTCTGAGTTCCACTGCATTTAGCTTAACAAGCAGCTCATCCACATGTGGCAAAAGAGGAAAATACCCTCAAAAGCCAGAGAAAGCTGAAGAGACCCAAGCAGGATACAAGGCTCAGCCATGGAAACTCCCTACTCCAGATTGAATTTCACAAGCAGGACAGACAGGCACCACCAAACCTGGTCCAACATCCTGGCTCTGGCTCCTAATCCTCTAATCTGGTTCTATCTATGAGTCAAGGGATAACCCAGAAATATTATGTGGTCACCAAACATGAAGATATATCCAAGGGATACAGGATACCATCCTCAAGATAAGCATCTTTTCATTTTCTCTTAATATCTACCCATCTTCAACGGCACACTCTAAACATGACTGCTGAGGAAAACCACAAGAAATACCTTAGGATAATCAGACTGGATTTTGATATGCCCTAGAGAACTGGAGACTTTTTCCCCAAATAGGAAATTTTAGTTCTTTAGAGTATATCTCAAAAATCAAATAGTTACCTAAGTTTTCTACTGCATTCATTGACATACTCAAAATTAACTCTTCTCAAACCTAAGCTAGAGTCTACACCATACAACTGAGAGGGCAGGGCACTAAGGAGGCTGTCTAAAGAGATGATTAAGAAGGAAATATCCAGAGATTGCACAGAACCTGACAGCAGTGTCTGCTCTCCATCCATTCACCCAGTAAATAAATATTCAGCAAAACAAAACACCTACATGTAAAATGCCCATGTGATTAGCAAAATGAAGACTAGAAAAATAGTCAAGAAGTAGACTTTGCCTTCAAAAACTATTTAAACACTTGTATGCTTCTAAAACCTAAGGTAGAGGTTCCCCAGGTGGGACTAGTGGTAAAGACCTTGCCTGGCAATGCAGGAGACACAGGTTTGATCCCTGGGTCAGGAAGATCCCCTGGAGTAGGAAATGGCTACCCACTCTAGCAGTCTTGCCTGGAAAATCCCATGGACAGAGGAGCCTGGCAGGCTACAGTCCATGGGGTCGCAAAAAGTTGAACACAACTGAGCACACACACACACACACACACACACTACAGTCCATGGGGTCGCAAAAAGTTGAACACAACTGAGCACACACACACACACACACACACACACAAAAAAAACATTAATTGCCCTAAGAAATGTACAGATAAAGTGTCATATTCATGTGAGTTCAGAGAAGGCTGAAATTATTTCCAGTAGAAAGGGTCAGGAAAAGCTTCACTGAAATATTTCAGATGACCTTTGAAGGATGGGTATGATTTGGAACTGAAAGATGAAAGGAAAATGCATCCAGGTGGAAGGATTGGCCTGAACAATGGATCTAAGGAAGCAAAACACTGGAATCAAGACATTTTTCAATTTGGCTGGAAGAGAGGCCGCAAGGCACTTAATGCAGGGGGAAAATATTAGAAGAAAGAAGCTAGAGCTAGTTCATAGATGGTCTTCAATAACAATTTGGAATTTATTATATATTGTAAACATTAAAGGGTCTCTGAAGTTTCCTGAGCTGGGGAGTGGCATGGTGAAACTTCAGAGGGATTCACGGGCAAGCCTGATAGAATGCAACCAGTGGCAAGAAGACAAAGCAGGAGAGAAATAAAATGACGGAGGTAAGAAGCAAAGAACTGGGTTATCAATGAAGGCATGAAGAGGAAGGGGTAGACAAGAGAAATGTTAAGTCCAACAGGATGTGGTCATTGGTAGTCAAGTATAAAAGGGACATTAAAGATCAGCCCGAAGTATGTGTTCTGGATGTCTGAGAAGACAGTCATATTATCAACAGAAACAGAATTTAGAAGGTGACAAAGCCTGTGGAACACCCAAGTGGTTATATTTAATCATCAGATGGAAGTGTGGGGCTGGTGCCAGGAAGACATAGTCCATGCCTTATCTTTTTCACTGTTGATCCCTCCCTCCTCAAAATTCTCCTGTTGGGTTTCTGGATAACATCCTTGGCTGTTTCCTCCTTCCTGGGGTAGCTCTGTCCTAGGCTCCACCAGCTCTTCTTCTACGACTTGTCCCATATGGCTGTGTTCCTTGGTCTTTTCCTCTTTCTACATCCTATCCCTGAACGTTTCATCTTTGCCCATCACTTAACCACAGCTCCATGTAAATGGCCCTGTAGAAGGCAGTGGTTGAGAACACAGGCTCTGGAATCGGCCTGGGCTCAAAATCCAGCCCCACCATGTTCTTATCACCTAAAATGTGGTTTCTTGCCTGTAAAATGTAGCCACAGAGTTGTGCTTTCACAGGATTTACCTGAGGATTAATACAAAATGTGGCACATTAAAGGGCTGGCTTAAAACTCAATATTTAAAAAACTAGGATCATGGCATCCAGTTCCATCATCCATGACTTCATGGCAAATAGACTGGAAAAAAGTAGAAACAGTGGCAAATTTTATTTTCTTGGGCTCCAAAATCACCTCAGATGGTGACTGCAGCCATGAAATAAAAAGATGCTTACTCCTTGGAACAAAAGCTATAACAAACCTAGACAGTGTATTAAAAACATATGTCTGATTCATGCTGAGGTTTGACAGAAAACAACAAAATTCTGTAAAGCAATCATCCTTCAATTAAAAACTAAGTTAATAAAAAAAGAAAAAAAACCAAACAAACCAGAGACATCACTTTGCCAGCAAAGGTCCATATAGTCAAAGCTATGGTTTTGAAAAATGGCAAAATGGTTGCCTGAGGAGGCTCAGAAAAGAAGAGAAGTGCAAGGCAAAGATGAAAAGAAAAGATATACCCATCTGGATGCAGAGTTCCAAGGAACAGCAAGGAGATATAAGAAAGTCTTCCTAAGTGAACAATGCAAAGAAATAGAGGAAAACAATGGAATGGGAAAGACTCTCAAAGATCTCTTCAAGAAAATTGGAGATACCAAGGGAACATACCATGCACAGATAGGCACAATAAAGGACAGAAACAGTAAGGACCTAACAGAAGCAGAAGATATTAAGAAGGGGTGGCAAGAATACGCAGAAGAACTATACAAAAAAAAGATGTTAATGACCCAGATAACCACGATGGTGTAGAGCCAGACATCCCAGAGTGAGAAGTCAACTGGGCCTTGGGAAGCATCACTATGAACAAAGCTAGTGGAGGTGATGGAACTCTGGCTGAGCTCTTTCAGATCCACAAAAATAATGCTGTTAAAGTGCTGCGCTCAATATGCCAGTAAATTTGGAAANTAGATGGGGAAACAATGAAAACAGTGACACAGACTTTATTTTCTTAGACTCCATAACCACTGGGATGGTGACTGCAGCCATGAAATTAAAGACTCTTGCCCCTTGGAAGAAAAACTATGACAAACCTAGACAGCAGATTAGAAAGAAGAGACATTACTTTGCCAACAAAGTCAAAGCTATGGTTTCTCCAGTAGTCATATATAGATGTGAGAGTTGGACCATAAAGAAGGTTGAGCACTGAAGAATTGATGCTTTTGAACTGTGATGTTGCAGAAGACTCTTGGGAGTCCCTTGGACTGCAAGGAGATCAAATCAGTCAGTCCTGAAGGAAATC